CATAAAACTTCTATATTCAAGTCATCTATCCAATAAAATGCAAGATGAGAAAGAGAAAAAAATTGGTTAGCTTCATACCTTCAAACCCTTATAGGAAAATGCAAAACAAAGGTTGCCTATCCAAAATCACTCCACCTCAAGTTTCTTTGTCACCTTGTTGCACCTTTCTATGGATTGATTTAGAGTTTTCGGTTGATTTCTCTCCAAAACAAGCAAGAATCAAAATGAAAAATTGAAAACTTTCTTCTTTTTTTTTCTCTCTCTATTTCGGCCAAGGAAGAAGGAGAATGAAGGGATTTTTGCTGAAAATTACAAGATAAAGACTAGAGAAGTCTTTGGTCAAAGTTGGCTTGATAACCAACACTTATCATCCACCCATTTTCCCCCATCTTTCTTTCCTTTTTTTTCTTTTCCTCTCTCTATTCTTTCTCTAAATTCAGCCAAAACCCTAGAAATGCAAGGGAGAAATAATAAAAAGGAAAGTAAGGAAATTAATGAAGGAAAGGTCTTGATTAAATGGTGTCTTCAATCGGTGACAAGTGGCTTGAGTAGGTTCAAGCCTATCTCTTTGTTTTCTCTTGTTTTGTAACTTATGTTTCATTAATTTACTCTTGACACTTCCAATCACATGCTCCCTCTAATACTACACTTGTTCTCATCCACCAAATATAACGCACATATCTCACTCATCGGTCAAACTATCTTAATGTACTATGGAACTTAGCATGCACTAAAATATAAAAAGAGAAATGATAAAAATCTTAACTTAACCTTTAAATCACTGTCAAATTAAGGCTAGCAAATAAGCAAGTAAAGTTAAATTAAAAGGAAATATAAATTAATTTTTCAAAAACAGGAGAAAATTTTAAAAAAATTTTCGGGTTCTCACATAATATATCTCTATTTAATTTCACCTAAACATATACGCGGGTTTAAATCTAATAATTTTGTTTTAAATACATATATATTTATTTGATTTCACCATGTGAATCTATTCAATATTTGTGGCCTTTTCTTTTTTAATAATAATTCATTTATTGAGTTGTGCTATAAAGTCATCTAATTAATCGATCCTAATTCGAATTCTATAGTCATACTTATAAATTGCAGTTTAAATCTGAAGTTTCTACTTGCCACCTTTAAGACCAATAGTTGAATTTCTTGCCTTGTGATTATTTTAAAATTTGAAAGTGTCAATCGCTTACTTTTTTTTGTCATACTTTTTCTTTGTTTATTTTTTCTGTCCAAATTTAATTCAATATAAATACTTGATAATATTTAGGATTAAATGTCTTTTTATTTTCAATTTTTGAGTAAAAAAAATTGAACATGAATGAAAAAATAACAAATTTTTTTAAACCCATGTATATATCTATTTAATTTCACCTGAACAATATATTTAGGCGAAATCAAATAGAAATATATTACATGCTATTCGTATTGTTCATGTGAAATTAAATAGAGATATACATGAGTTTAAAAAAAATTATTCATACACATGATCAATGAGTGACAAAAAAATTATTTTGCAAAATGTGAGGGATGAAAAAATTTATTTTGTGAAATTTGAGGGATGAAACATTTCATTTGTGAAATGTAAGGGACAAAAAATTTATTTTATAAAATGTAAGGGATTATAGATCAGATTATGCAAATTTTGATTTAACAATTTTATTCTTAAAAAATGATCACGTGCAAGGCACGTGGTGGATTTCGATAAAAAATTAGTTGAAAACTTAGGTAGTGACGAAATTTGACCAATGCGAATTTGTAAGGAATGTAAAAGTGCACTTTTAAAAGTAAGGGATGAAAAAAGTCATTTTGTAAAATATGAGGGACGTTTTGAATGATTTTTCCATTAATAATTCACTAAAATTACATATCGTATTTCTAAAATATAAGTCTATTGTTATTTATTTTTTCTTAAAATTTAAATCTACCTAAATGTCATTAAAGACATTGATAGAATTAAATGATATCAGTTACATATATACATTGAAGACATTAATAGAATTAAATTATACTTACAAATCAAGTAGATATGGATTGGTTCATATTCTTTAGATTTTTAATCTCCTTTTATTAATAGAATACTTCATATTTTTATAAAATAAATATAAGATTGAGTTTTGGTCAAAGAATAGGTTGAATTTCAAACGCATAGGTGTGGGCTTTTTGGGAATGTGAAATGTTGTGTATTAGTTTAAAAGCTTTAAGTACAAGTTAAGAAAGCATGTATTTGGGTATGTTTACTGAAATGACCCCATTTTAATACATTTAAAGTTGTCATTGATGAGCCGTCTGGGTATTGATGGAATGTGTAATTAGTGTGCAACCGTTTTTCATTTTGTACAACCCATATATGCTTGTATGTTGGTGTAATTACCGGAATATCCCTTAGCTACCAATAATTCCCCTTTTCAGCCGCAGATAACCGTTTGAGATGTTGCTTTGTCTGAAACGTTTGAATGGCAATCGAATTTAGGAAATGAGCCAACGATTTCTCTATCAATGGTAGGAACCCATTTCTCTATCATTTATAATCTGCATTTATGAGTCACAAATGTTGGTCAGTTTATCTTCTTTCAGCTTCAGGAGTTAAGTTTTCCCTTTTTGCCTTTGTCTACAACGATTTGCCTCATCGTTTTCTCTTCCATCCGACCTCAATTCTGAAATTACCTATTATTTTATCATTAATTACACCCAATTCAATTGCCGAACTGTTGGTATGTTAATGCCTAAACGGTTGATTATCAGTTTCTCCCTGTTCGCATTTTAGAATTGGGATAATTCTACCTGGCTTCATACTAATCAGCTCAGAATGCTCTTCAGTCCCAGCTACTCCTGGTGGTTCAGCGTGAGGTTAGATTTCACCCCCCCCCAATTTTTCAGTTCCTCCCTTAATTTTGTCGGTGTGTTCTTAGTACCTACAATTAGCGACTCTTATCGCGTTGCCTAACTGCAAGATAGCATTTTTCGCATTGCCTAACCCCAATTGGTCTGGGTTGGTTATAATCTTATAGGTTTGGAGCAGCAGCAAGAAAGAGCTCTTGGTGGGGATTTTGGAATAAGGTTAGCTTACTGTGTTGCTCTGTTTTTCTGCATTATAAATATCCTTCAATTTGACACAGTTTTATTGTAACGCTGTCTGAATTGATTGATTATATCGTTTATTTTTTCATACTAAACTTTATTTCTTCTTACAATGTACTATTGTTTATTCAACAACAAAACCTTTTTCCCCACAGGCTTTAAACACCCGCGTGATGCGCAGGCACTCCCCCCTAGTTTATAAAATAAATTTTAGTTGATTAAATAAGTGTTTCTTTGAATTATAAGTACACTCATCAAATTATTAAATTATTAATTTATAGATTAATCAATACCTATCTTTTTAAATTAATAGAATTTGTATGGTTCCAAGATTATTAAGTTATTGATGGGTTGATGGGACACTTATCTAAAAGAAAGTTTTCAACATGAAAGGGTTAATTATGACCTATGTGTATTGCTAGTATTCATTTATAAGTCAGTCTAATAGATGTTCATTTGATACTCGTTAAAATATATTTTATGTGTTATATTTTTTAAAATATAAGTTTAATTAAGGAAAGTATATAAATACAAGGGAAAATATGTAAGATTAAATAGGAAAAATATATAAATCCAATAGACGATAATAATTATTAGTATGTGTATATTCATAATAGGTTAATTGGAAGCGTGTTAACGAGTGTCCAACCATTAGAAAAATTCTTTATTTACTTCTATTATCATATTTGTTTACTATTATTACTACTTCCTTTTTTCATTTTGTTGTTGTTGGCTCTAATTTTATTACTACTTCTTTTTTTTTTGTTTTGTTGTTGTTGGCTCTAATTAGGTAACTATTATGGTTACATTTTTTTTTTCTTTTTAAGTGTAAGTGGAAGGTCTTGGTAACTCTCACTTACACTCCCTTCGTACTACCACCCAACCCATCCATCTCCCCAATTATTATGGTTACTTATTATTTATGACTTCCTTGTTTTTTGTTGGCTTTAATTAGTACTAGTGATTGAGGTACACTTGTTTTGTGTGCACTTTGTGAAACATACATGCTCTAAAAAACATGAACACCATGAAAAGAGAAAAAAGCATAAAAGTTTGTAAAAGGAAAACAAATAAATAGGATTATTCAAGTAAAATAAAATCATGATTATTTATCAATGGTGAATGAAGAAGTGCTGTAACAGACATATTATTGTAGTTTTATAATGTTTCAAATACCATTAGATAAATATGGGGTTTAGATAAATATGGAGAAATTAAATCAGAGCAACTTCTTTCTCATGAACGTGGTAAAAGGAACATGCATGGATGTAGGAAAAGGAACATTTAAATTTTTAATTGGAACTATATTATATGACCATTTTACCCTTAATAATAAGGATAAAATTGACAATTCAAAAAATGACATTTTTATTAACACCAAATTCTGCTCTGACTTTATATATAGAAAAATGGTTAGTAAACATCTGTATTATATCCATATAATACATGTTCATATGTATCATTTTAAAAAAATTTTATATTTTGTACATTTAAAAAATACTCATACTTTTCAATTAATTGTGTTTCAAACGTAATGAACTTTTAGCATATTATACTTCATGAATTATACTTTAATTTTTTAAAAATATTTTAAAATTTGAATAAGGATAATGATATACTTTTTAAGTTATATATAAAATAAAGACGATGCATATCACAACAGCTATAAATTTATACATATTTAAGTAATAATATGATAAAATTTTAATAAATTTAACGTCTCATATATAAGAGTAAGTTTAAAATTGATATAAATGTAGCATAATCTTTAAAAATTAAAGTAAATTTATTCATAGTTTTAGTTCCGTAATTTTCAAATATGTTTCGAGCTATTGACTTACGAATTTAATTTATGTGCATAATTTTTCTGAATACATACCTTTTTTTTTTTTGGCCCACTTTTACGCGAACTTTTGATCGTATACGTAAAATAAATATGACCTGTTGTCAGCAAAGAAAATTCCCTGCTTTCCGTCCTCCCTCCTGAATCACCAACGGCGGCCGGCGGCGGCGGCTTTTTCTCCTCTCCGAACCAAGCTATCGTTGCTTCTTTTCTATATTTAAAGTTTAAACCCGCACATGGCTTCTTCTTCCTCCCTGTGTTGTCGTTTTCTTTGTCAGCCCAACACCAACTCCTCCTCTTCAAATCTCTCTCCTTCCTTCGCTCCAAAGCCGCCTTCTGCATCTCTGTCTTTCAGCAGATGTTCGACCAGAGCTCTTCCGTCCTCTAACTCCGCTACCTCTCTCATCGTTGATGAGCCCGACCCTGTTTTCTCCTCCGTCAAATCATTCGCCCCCGCCACCGTCGCTAACCTCGGCCCCGGCTTCGACTTTCTCGGCTGTGCTGTCGACGGCGTTGGTGACTTCGTCACCCTCCGCGTAGACTCCGATGTCCGTCCCGGCCACGTTTCCATTTCCGACATCTCCGGCTCCCCAGGTGCCAGCAAGCTCACCAAAAATCCTCTCTTTAATTGCGCCGGCATCGCTGCCATTGCTGTCATGAAGATGCTCCGTGTTCGCTCTGTTGGACTCTCTCTCTCCCTCGACAAGGGCTTGCCTCTAGGTAGTGGCCTCGGCTCCAGCGCCGCCAGTGCTGCTGCAGCTGCAGTTGCCGTAAACGAGTTGTTCGGAGCCCCATTATCGGTTTCGGACCTCGTGTTGGCCGGACTGGAATCTGAGTCCAAGGTATCTGGTTACCACGCGGATAATGTGGCCCCGGCGATCATGGGGGGCTTCGTCTTGATTCGCAGCTACGATCCCCTGGAACTCATCCAGCTCAAGTTCCCGGGAAATGCCGAATTGTTTTTTGTGCTGGTGAACCCGGAATTTGAAGCTCCGACGAAGAAGATGAGGGCGGCATTGCCACCGGAGATAACCATGTCTCACCACATCTGGAATTCCAGTCAGGCTGGCGCACTGGTAGCGTCAGTCTTGCAGGGAGACTTGAGGGGTTTAGGGAAGGCTTTGTCATCCGATAAAATAGTGGAGCCGAGGAGGGCACCCCTGATACCGGGAATGGAATCTGTCAAGGCCGCAGCACTTGAGGCAGGAGCATTTGGCTGCACCATCAGTGGAGCTGGTCCCACTGCTGTTGCGGTGACAGATAACGAGGAAAAAGGCAGAGAGATTGGAGAGAGAATGGTGGAAGCATTTATGAAGGCAGGTGATTTGAAGGCTGTGGCAATGGTAAAGAGGCTTGACCGTGTGGGCGCTAGGCTTGTTCACAGCACGCCATGACACCATTGACTTTGATGAATTCTTCTGGTCTGACCAAAAAATTGGCAGGCTGGTGGAAAGGAAAGTAATGTATCCGGAGGCTCCGGTGTTCTTCCTTTGAACTGCTAATAGCGTATTTTCAGCTATTTTCAGATATCATTTACTCTTGACTCTTAGTGTTGTGCCCTAGAATAAGTATGAGAAAGAAATTAGTGTCTTTTTGGCTCTCCTTTAGTTGTTGCATGCTATTGAATGTCTTATTGATATGTTTCCAATAGTATTTCCTAGTGTTTGATCATGATTCATTGTAGTGCATTATATTTTTCATCTCCGTCTTTTAAATTTTTAGTTTGATCATGAATGGCTTATTTTAGTTTGTTCTACTTTGTTTGATTTCCCACTTGGGAAAGGGAAGGTATAATAGTAGATAACCTGTCAAGAATTTGGATAGTGTTGTTGTGCATATCAGAAAGTTTGATTCTTTGCTAATCTGTTATCCTTCATGAACACAATGAAGCAAATTCCTCGATCCAAAAATGCTTCTTTGCTAAACTATCTTATGTTTATAGAGAAGTGTTTTCAATTGTCCTTATAGAAATGAAGCAAAAATCCCACACTCTTTATGAATTGTGAAACAGCCACCACCCAGACAAAAATTTTCTTAATTAAAACTGAACAATGTGCTGGTTTTTAGATAATAGAGAAAATTTTAAATTTGTGATGGTCCATGTTATAGTTTTTCCCAGTGGTAAAACATCACAACTTCTATACTATTCCACCCATCGTTTTTGCTGTTAAAATCAAGAGTAGCAGCTGCTGTTGTTATTGCTTGTGATTTTCCTGACTACCTGGAAAGGACTATCAAAAAGCTGAGATTTTCTGGCTTTCTTTGATGTTTGAACTTTTTGTAGTTGCCATTAGTAATTTTGTTTGTGTGTGTGTATTTTTTTTTGGTTGTCTTCAGTGTAAGAAAGAGGACTTTTTTGGGTGTTCCTGAAATGAGCAATTTGTTACTATTTTTTGTTATTGAATTTTAAGAATAGTCTTGAAATTAATTTTCTTTGGAACTGGTTTGCGTGATTACCTGCAATCTATTGCTTCACATGGATATGGTTATGTTTACACTATAAAGATCTCTGGATGCTGATTGAAACACAGCAAGATTGCAAATTAGGTAGGTTTGCTGTTTTCTTCTAACTAAATTTAATCGAGCTGGCGTTGGATAAAAAATTTTACGAGCATAGTTTCAGCAGAGACATCGTACTTGATGGTCTAATTTTTGTTTTGAGTACTACTGCTGTCTTCTCTTGCTTTTATTGAGTGGCGGTTCCTATGAGATGGAAATTGCCCCAGATTTTGAAAACCATTATGAAGCTAGGGCCTAGCTTCTTGAAAGTGCTAAGTGTGTTCTTTTGAAGGAAGTCAAGATCATTTAACTCTTCATCTGCTTCAAACCACTTGATCAATTGTGCTGTAGTATCTCCGTTGAATTACAATGGACACAAGGGGTTTTTGCAAGATCCTTGTAATATTCTTACTTTCTTTCTTTCTTTTGCTGACCATTACAAAATCTGAATAATGTATTTATTTATAAACTGCATAATCGTAAAAATGGTAGTAACTATGTCAGCAATCTTCTGGTATATGCTGGTTTCTACCGAATGATTAACAAGATTTCACTTTAAAACTTCTGTTATTCTTCTATAGTAATAGTCCGGAAATAATTTTTTGATTTTGCTTGTCTTCTGGCTACACTCTTAGCCGATGCTGTCCTCCATCCAGACCTTTTCCCATTGGATGGGTGCTCACTAAATGTAGAGGAGATGAATGTCCTCCGAGGTGGCCAATGGCATGTCCTTATGGATGCCTTAGACTCGTAGATGGGATTCATTTAGACATAGATCAACATTGTTTGGTTGGCTTTCATTTTATCTTTAGATCGGTATACAAGTTTGTGGTGGCATCTTCTGTCATTTGCTTACCAAAGGTCACTTGTATCATTGGGATTGAGTGAGGAGAATAACAAACACCCAGTTTGATCAAGCACTGGAACAAAATATTTCGGTAAGCAGGCATGTATTTGTCTCAGCTGCTAGAATCCAGATAGCCAGGTAACAGTCAAGAAGCCAGAGCCATACATACCTAGCTGCATGTACTTTGGCTTTCATTTGAACATCTTATCCATTATCTCTTTTTCTTCACTCTCGAGCTTAGAATTCTTTTCTCTTAGGTATCCAGGTATACACTCCACCCTGGAGAAGCTACTATTCTTCCAAATTTTGTTCTCTCAAGTTTATAGATTGCATTTTTCCTCGTGCAGTTGTTTATAAAATGTTCATATCTCATAGCACGAGGATAAATCAGGACTTTACTAATTCCAAGAACTAGAGGATATCTAACTTTGTATGTTCATACGAAAGTGTGTGCAATTTTTCTTACAGAAACAAAGCAAAAGTCACACCCTCTATACCATAATGTTGGCAGTCTTCATGTTCGTGTGAGGTCTCTTTTAAGTGATTTGCAAGATCTATGGCATTTTACATTCAAGCGTTGACGATCCTGTATAATGGTAACCGGATATTTTGTAATTTTGCTCGTCTTCTGGATTTGCTCTCTGCAGATGCCCTCTTGCTGGCCACATTTTTCAAGGGTTTGGATAGAAGCTTGCTAAATGTGCTAGGGATGTACTGCCTCCAAAGTAGCCGAAGGCATATCCTTATGGAACCGTGCTTTCAACTCGCTCACATGATTCACTTAGATTGATATTATTCTGTCTATTCTGGTTTCATGTGTAGATCATGTAAAAGTTTGTGGTGCCATCTATTTAGCATCTTATCAACCAAACGGTCACTTATCAGTCTGATAAAGATTAAAGGAGAACAACAAAAGACTAGTTTGATCAACCAGTGGTGTCTAGAACCAATTATTTTGGTGAGCAATCTCTGGGATTGGGGTCGTGAGAGCTAGAAAGCCAGATGCACCTAGCTGCTTGTATATTGGCCTTCACAACATTCTTATCTATCATCTCTTTTACTTTACTCTCTGGCTTAGAATTCCTTTTTTTTTTTTTTTCTGTACTATCCAGATAGACTGGGCATGCTCTAGCCTGATGTTGATACTCCATACAAGTTAGAAGACAAAAAACATATCAGTGGTGAGATTGTGCCATCCGATGGTGGTGAAGTGCCACAGAAGAACAGTAGTAATTGGATGAGAATGTTAACGGAGTTGTTGCACTAACCATGATATTAAACAATGTAGCAGTATTCCTTCCCTCATTGGATGCATTGGTTTTTACTACTTTGTAGGCGATTAGAATGGCCAGATCAAATTGGGAGTATGGCGTTGGTTCAAAAAGGGGATAAAGATGAGGTCGTTGTGAAGACCAAATTCGCAGGGCGAGAATTTAGCTTGCAAACAAGAAGCAATAGAGGCTGAGCTTATCCTTAGTTTACCTTCGATGCTTAAGTTAGTAAGATAGTTAAGGAATAAAAGTGGTAGAGAGAGTGTTTGTGTGGGGGTATGGCTGTTACCTTAAACAAAAGGGAATTTCGGTTGTATTTTTCGTTTTGGAGAATCCATTTTAATTGTACTTGAAAAGTGGATTTGACATGATTACTTTGCGGCTATCTGTAATTATATGTCGCCTTTCTAACTTATTAAGTCAGGATGTTAATAAACAGGTCAAATTAGTCATACTGCGAGAATTGATCCGATTTTTGAACTCCTTGGAATCCGAGAGAGTGTATGTGTGGGGGTATGGCTGTTACCTTAAACAAAAGGGAATTTCAGTTGTATTTTTAGTTTTGGAGAATCTATTTTAATTGTACTTGAAAAGTGGATTTGACATGATTACTTTGCGGCTATCTGTAATTATATGTCGCCTTTCTAACTTATTAAGTCAGGATGTTAATAAACAGGTCAAATTAGTCATACTGCGAGAATTGATCCGATTTTTGAACTCCTTGGAATCCAAGAGAGTGTATGTGTGGGGGTATGGCTGTTACCTTAAACAAAAGGGAATTTCGGTTGTATTTTTAGTTTTGGAGAATCCATTTTAATTGTACTTGAAAAGTGGATTTGACATTATTACCTTGCAGTTATCTGCAATTCTATGTCATCTTTCCAACTTATTAAGTTAGGATGCTAATATACAGGTCAAATTAGTCATACTACGAGAATTGATCCGATTTTTGAACTCCTTGGAATCCGAGAGAGTGTATGTGTAGGGGTATTGTTGTTACCTCAAACAAAAGGGAATTGTGGTTATATTTTTAGTTTGGAGAATCCATTTTAATTGTACCTAAAAAACTGGATTTGACATGATTACCTTGCGGCTATCTGCAATTCTATGTCGCTTCTCTAACTTATTAAGTATGCTAATATACAGGTCAAATTAGTAATACTACGAGAATTGATCCGATTTTTGAACTCCCTGGAATTCCAAAGGGTGTATGTTTGGATGTATTGTTTTTACCTCAAACAAAAGGGAATTGCGGTTGTATTTTTAGTTTATAGAATCCATTTTAATTGTATCTGAAACAATGGATTTGACGTGATTACCTTGTGGCTATCTGTAATTTTATGTCGCTTTTCTAACTTATTAAGTCATGATGCTAATATATAGGTCAAATTAGTCATACTATGAGAATTGATCTGATTTTTGAACTCAGAATCCGAAAGAGTGTGTGTGTGGGGATATTGTTGTTACCTCAAACAAAAGGGAATTGCGATTGTATTTTTAGTTTGGAGAATCCATTTTAATTGTATTTGAAAAAATGGATTTGACATGACTATAATGAGGCTATCGGCAATTCTATGTCACCTTCCTAACGTATTAAGTCAGGATACTAATATACGAGCCAAATTAGTCATATTATAAGAATTGATTCGATTTTTGAACTCTTTGAAATCCAGCTCAAAATCGGTTGTTTTACTTTTTCTAATTAAAAGAAACTCAACAAAGTAACTCACAAAAGGTGATAATCATAACAAAATATTAAGGCGTTGCAAGCTTGACTAATTGACGAGATTTTTTTGCCTGTCATTGAGGTTGGTGAACTTGGTACTCAATGCATATAACAAGGAGTCTAATGGAATAGCAAAAGTGTTTATGTATGTCATGCATCCAACAATGATAATGTATGTATTATCAATATATATAAAATTTACTCATCTCTTAGTGCAATACTAAGGCATCTCTTAATGCAATAGTAACAGTTTACATATTCGTGCACTTGCGAGTGACCTCCACGAAGAGATATAAAAGATGTGAAATGTTGGTGGCTGTTAATTTGTTGCACATCAAACAATCAGCGTGTGAAGTGGGAAAGTGCTGAAATGTCTTTTCTCATCTGTGGGTAATGGGTTGATGCTAAAGACGATACAAAACTCCTGCTGTTGTCCAAATTTTCTACATATAATCAAAGTATTCACATTCTCTTCGATAATCATATAAAATTTGAAAAGTGTGGTTCGTGACATGTTGACAAGAATATTTATGATGTTAAAGTTTGTTTTTTTTTGTAATATTTTGTTTAGAAATTTATTGATTTTTTGTTATTGATCATGTTTGACAATGAATATGTAACTAAAAGGAGTAATTTGGATCTTGTATTAAGTGAAAAATATAAAAGGGATAATTTCAGAAACCTCCCTTGAGGTTTCTGACAATTTCACTCAGCTCTCCACTAGTTTATAAAATTACATTTACCTCCTTTACCATAATAAAATACCTATAATGCCCTCCACTTGGTAGACAATTTTAAATTTAAAACAATAACAAAACCCAAAAAAGAAATCTATTTTTCTATTTCTTGTCTATTTTCGCTCCTCTCTTTTCTAGTTATTATAATCTCTTTTTATTATCTTCAATTTTGTGGATATTAGTAAATTGAAATTACAAAATCAACAAAGAGAGCATATTATGTATCAAATTAGAAGGAAATGAAGAGACTCGCAATGATAGAGAAATAAATAATGAAATTGATGATTGAAATAGGAAGAAGAACTAAAGATGTGGAATTTATCATATTTTGTTGGTTTTCAAGAAAAACTTTCATAAAATGTCAATAATTGCATAAGGATTTCTTTCATTGAATTAGAAATTTTTTATTATAATTTTATTGTGAAGGCAGAATTTATTCTCTACTTTTGAGATATTAATATTTTTAAAACCATAGGAGGGTTGTAATGGCGGTTCTAGATTATATTAACTTGTATTGAAAAGGTATTTGAGCATTGCTATTTAATTTTTGGGGTATGAAATTGGTTGTTAATGTAGTTTTGTGTGTGTGTGCGTGTGTGTGTTTTTTTCTTTTTTATCGTGACAAGTATTGATACTGTATATGTAATTTGGGATCTTTTGGACAGTTACTTGGTTTTAGTACTTATGCTTGGATGGTTGTTAGGAATTAGACTTGTTGATTTGTGCAAAGTATGGAAAAAAAATGATTGAGTATACTATATATTTATTTCTTAGTTTTGTACAAAAGGACAATTTAGGACTTTTGTAAGAAAATCTATCTTATTGGACTTATATCGTTACTAAACAGTAAAAGTAGTGGAGGTATATGTAATTTTTAAAACTTGAGGAGAGTTCTTTGTCATTATTAAAAACCTCAGGGGAGGTTTGTGAAATTATCCCACCATACAATGATAGTATATTGTTTTTTTGATGATACATGTGATTTGATATCTAACGATAAGCAGCAAATTTTAGTATTTTTTTTTAATATACAGGTTGGTATTCAATTAATTAAATAATGTAGTATATGAGGGGCAATGATGAAATCATATTATTTTTTCTCTCTTAATATCACTTTTTTATTATTGATTAGATCTAAATATTACAAGATAATTAATCTTAAGGGAAGTTAGTGTAATTTTTGAAATCTAGAGGGAGCCAGTGAAATGGTTATAAACCTCAGGGGAGGTTTCTACAATTATCCCTTAATTCTTTTCATTACAATAGTAAGGAAGATTTCACTTTTTGCCTCGTGAGATTTCCAGCTTTTGCTTTTCTGCCCTTACCAAATGGATTTGTTTATTTTTTTTTTTCAACCTCGGAAGGAACCAATTAATGTTTAACAATGTGAGTGGTTTAGGAATATATGCCATCTTTCTTGTTTCTTCATTTTTAATCAAAGAACAAAGAATATGACAATTCAAGAAAGAAAGGCCACCATTTACCGCTTGTAGTATTAGTACAAGTATGATCTGATAAAATCGTCCCTAAAACCAATGAATAACCAAAACTCGCAGCAGCCCTTACAAGAATCACACATCGTCACTTGAAGACGGACACAGTAATCTATGTCTCAGTTGGGTTTTTTCAGTAAAGGGTTCAACACTAAGCTAGTCAAGTACTGGGAACTATCAGGTAAGCATTTCTGAAGCATATGATATGATCCTTTTCCTAATCTTCTCTATGCAGTCATTTAAACTAGCATTCTCCACCAATCAACCAGTTTGTGTTGTGTGTTGATGCATTTTCACGGCTCTTATTTATTCATACATGCATTGATTGCAATGGTAATGGTAATGGTATCAACTAATACTGACGAGAACATTCATGCTGGTTAAGGAGTAAGTAATCCAAGTATGAAACCAAAGTATGTAATCTAATTAATTTACTACCGCTATGCATGCAGTCCATTTGTTGTGCAGTGATGTGCTTTGTCAAGAGAGAGCAAAAGAGAGGAGCAAATAGAGGATGAAGAAGAATAAGGAAAATGGAAGGGCTGCTCTGTGAGGGCATTTAGAGTGGCATAAGCTTGGAACGCTCTAACCCTTAAGCAATTATAGTTGAAGCCTAAACCTATATTTAGTTTTGAAATGGAGACAATTGCGAAGAATGGTTAATTGTGGGTTGGGAGTTCTTCCAGATTAGATATAAAGTGATTTCTTTTTCTCCCTTTTTTTTCTTTTTAAAATTGTCTTCCTGTCTTGAACATATGATCTTGTGGCTTCACAACTTCTGTGATCCTAGGTTAAAAATATTTTTGTTCTTCCTTCTGTTGTATGTAGTACTAC